TTTGGCAAATCCTAATGACGAAGAAAGATTAACGATCAACTCGTCATCGCGTAGTTTGCTGCCAATTTCATCGAAATTAAGCTCTCCTAGCGAGTTATGGGTGGTATTAAAGGCAGACTTAGTTTTTTCAATTAGCAAAAGGCGCACTTCTTAGTCAACGGCACAAAAGTTGTTAATTTTATCCTCAAATAATTCATTTTCAATACACTTGGCTCGCTCGAACAATGCAACCACTTTGCGCTTAAGAAAAAACACCCTGTTTGACTGCATATCATCTGTGTTCTCGACTTGCATCATTTTTTCACAAGCACAAAATCAGAACACCAAACTGAGCACACAACATGCGGCGAATTGTGCAGCTGCTTATGTACAAGCGTATGTATATAAGCTGAGCCGGCGAATCACCGCGCAAGGGGAAGAGCGCGAAAGTCAACTAGCGGCGTTTATGTATATGGGAATATTTGGGAGCTGTAAATGGTCAGCTCACACAGGCGGTTTGGACTTGCCTAATTATAACAATTTACGATGATTATGTGCTACTCATTCAAGAATAATCACAATTTTAATTTGCAATAGATTTATTTTGCTTCTGCAATGTTAAATCTCGCCGGGGCCTCCAAATGTTGAGTTACTAATGTTTTTTAGCAACTGTTTAGAACCTAAACCAGGAGTCAGGACATTTAGATCTGCTGGGTTCTCTGAAAGCGAGAGTAATGGGCGTGAGCTAACAATAGCTGTGATTTGGCAAACAAGAGTACGAAGATCTTCAAAACTAAGTAAAGAGCGGCCGACAGAGCGGTAGAAGTGATGCTTGGCCAACTTCACTGCCGCCTCCCATAGTCCACCAAAGTGTGGAGAACGGGGGGGGATGAATTTCCACTCGATGTCATCGGCGCCATTAGGCAAATTTATGCAGATTATAAGGCTGTGGCTCAGAATTGGTTCTTCGCTTCGCCTCGATCAACAACGAACTGAGAGAGCAGACAAAAAAGGAATATGCAATTTATAGCAGCTGCGACAAGTGCAAGAAAGGCTTGCCAACCTTATTTATAATAAACAGCTGTTCCACTAGACCAAAATTACAACCTCTTCTTATGTTTACATGAATGTTTGCTTATGTTAATTTGATGAGACTGCTGCAGAATCCAACAATTACTGATAAAGCAAACTAGCGCGAAGCCTTTGGTGTTGGGTTCAAGGTGTGCCCTGTTGCTTGTTTTTCTTTTTCTTTTTATTTATATTCTTTCCCAGCATCTCCATTATGTATACATTATGTATACATTTACTATGCAACATTGCCTTTGCTACATAGTGAAATTCAATTTAATTCAACTATTAGGTTCATCTCTTCATGTCAATTTAAATATAATATATTAATTCAAATTGCTAACCATTTTGATAATACTAATACGATTAGAATACTTGTATTTAATTATAATTCAAAGAGTATATTGTAGTTTTTGATCAAAAATAATATTTTGACAGACAGCACACAGGTGGATCTTAAAAGCACTCACTTTGCGTGAAGTCCCGCCTAAAAATCATTAAAATGTGGTAACGTTTCGGTAGTACTTTTCGACGTTTTTGTTGTAGGTTTCTTACTAGCCGGCCATGTGGGCTGTTAGGTGCTAGTGCTTGTGGTGCTTTGTACAGCTTAAGTCTTCGGTTCGTTGGTGATGAGCTGAGTTGTAATTGTGCTTGCCCTAGTTGACTTTATCTATGTTGTCTTTTGTGTGCTTGGCTTAGTTGTTGTTTTACTTGTTTTTGTTGGCTTGACCGCTGTCGAATTTTGGATGTTTGGCTTATTAGTTATTGTTTTGGCTTCATCGTAAATAGCTTTTCGGTGCTTGACTTAGTTGTTGGGTTACATGGTTCAGTTGACTTAGACGTTGTTGGTTTTTGAGAACTTGATTTTAATGAATATAATACTCTCTTCAAGTGGTTTAAAAGTTGTCAACTTTTGGGTGTTTGGCTTAAATTCTGTTATATTTGCTTACGATGGCTTCAGCTCGTATGCTTCGTAAAACTTGGTTTAACTTTAAACTTTATTGTTGAAAGCGCTTGGGGCTTGGCTTGGCGTCTCCGACCCAAAAAAGTATATAAATTCTTGATCAGCTTCGATAGCCGAATCGATCTAACCATGTCTGTCTATAAGCGAAGAATTTCAGAACCTAGAGACTTGCACAGTACGTGTTTTTTTCCGATAAGCGATATCTTGAACCGTTTTCAAGTTATCTATAAAAATCAATATCGAAGTTCTGTTTTTTTAAGCAAATTTGGTAGGTAGTTCGAGCAAGAACCCCCAAACTTGACACGTAGCTTCTAGAATAATATATATATATATACTAGCGGGTATAGTCCCCCGGACTTTCCCGTGGCACGCATACAATAAATGTTTTCAAAAATCTTTGAAAAGGATTTGAAACTGTTCGGACGGTAAGTAAACAACTTTCATACAAACGTTTTCCGCCAAATTAAAACTGTTGCGGGTGGAATTTCCCAAATCGTTTAAACACGAATGCATTAAGTTCTTATGTAGAGCTCTGAAAATAAGTTAGAAGCAAATCGGACACAACTTAAAACCGAAGTAGTTTAGATTTTTCAAACAATGTGAAACAGGTCTCAAATGATTTTTTATATAAATCCTTAAAAATAAATTGGTGGTGAAAAGTCATCCATAATCTTTGTCTTCCATTTCCACCAAGGAGGAATACATTTTTCGAAAAGTGTGAAACACCCCTGAAATGAATAAGATCAAATGTCTTGAAAATGAGTTAAGGGCCGATCAGATGGTACGCGTAAAAGTTTCGTACAAACGTTTTACGCATTTTTCCCATACATGCGGGTGGAGTTTCCCCAAATCCCGCCTTAACGTGCTCCTTCATCAAATAAGGTAAATACAGTGAAAATTCAGCTTCCTAGCTCTTACGCTATGGGCTGGGAGTTGATCAGAAATCTGCCAGTCAATAAATCAGTCAGTCAGTCCTGACGGACAAACAGTCTTATATATATAGATATATATCAAGTATCTTTTATTCACCACCTTCCCGCTACTACCTCATAGCTATAAATGGAGTAAATTAAGCAACTTATATTTTCCACCAATTTAAACCACAATTCAATTCAAATGCAATTGATTTTTTGAGAATATACAAATATTCTTTAGTACAATAAAAACTACCGTTGAAAATTTCACCAAGATCGAAAACATAAACGAATTATGAAAGTTATTAAAGAAAACGTGTTGTCAGTGCTTGTCCTTGTGGCAACTAGCGCATATTGCAAGAATTTCTGTATACATATACATGTACACCCACACATTCATACGCCTCTTCATTAATTCTATTAACAGCATTGCAATTGAGATTGTATTGTGCCTGTGCTGATATTCCAATATTAATGTATTTGTAAAAATGTATGTAACTGGCAGAAGGAAACATCTCCCTATAAAATATATATATTCTTGATCAGCATCAAATGCCGAGTCGATCTAGCCACGTCCGTCCGATCGTATATACATATGAACACAAGGATTTCAGAACCAATCAGAGCTAGATACTGAAATCTTAGCTGTAGTGCCCGCGCAGTAAGAGTCTATTTCCAATTATCGATAACGTGCCCAGTTACCAAGTAGGTTTTAAGATGTAGAGTCACCAAACTTGACATGTTGCTTGCAGAATAGTATATATATATCAAGCATCTTTGATTTGATAGCTATCCCTAATACCACGATATCACCATAAATTAAGTAAAAACACCAACTTGCATTGCCCGCCAATTTAAAGCACGCTTTAAATGCAAATGTCATATTCTATAGTACAATAAGATCTACTGTAGAAAATTGTATAAAGGTCGGTCAAGAAAGAAAATAGTTATTAAAGACAATATATTTTGTGCTGGCACGAGTTTGGGGCAGCAGCACAAAGCCTAAAAATGTCTGAATACATGTCACACACACATTCATGCGCGTCTTTCGTTCATTCTATGAACAGCATGGCTAATGCGATTGTTTTGTTTTCTTGGCTTCTATTTTAATCCGCCTTTTTCTCAAACAATTTGGTCTGTTAAGAGTTCGAGACCTATAAGGGTATAAGGGTATATTGTGTTTGTGCAAAATCCAAATGTATGTAACAGGCAGAAGGAAGCATCTCCGACCTCATAAAGTATATATATTCTTGATCAGCATCAATAGCCGAGTCGATCTAGCCATGTCCGTCTGTCTGTCTGTCCGTCTGTCCGTATGTATGAACGCAAGGATCTCAGAACCTATAAGAGCTAGAGATGTTTTATGATTGATGATGATGATTATGATGATTTAAGATGTAGGTGCTCCTAGTGCCCGCGCAGATCGAGTTTGTTTCCGATAGTCGATAACTTACCCCGTTTCCAAGCAATAGATAAAAATCGATATCGATATCCTGTTTTTTGGGCAATTTTGGTAAATAATAAGAGCTAGGGTCACCAAACTTGACATATAGCTTCTAAAATAGAATAGCGTGTAGCGTTAGCTGAAAGAGGGGGGAGAGGACCTTCGTTTAAATTGCAAGTCTCCAGCTCTTAAAGATTGTGAGATTGACGCATTCATACATCCAGACAGATGCACAGCTTAGCAGAAGGACCGACAGACTGACGGACATGGCTAGATCGACTCGTCTACGGACGCTTATCAAAAATATATATACTTTAAGTGGGCGGAAATTCTAGCCCTTCTACCTATTTTCAATGATTTCAGTGTATAAAGATCTGTGCACATTTTATGATTAATTACATTCATTATTATAGAGTACGGAAATACCCTACTTTAAGTATCCTCTTTATTTGTTCTGTTTGCATTTTATTACTTTTAATTTAGCTAAGTTAGGTTTTGGGTCTGCGTGCGTATATCGTATGTCTTTTTATTCAAACAGAAAATACTATACAAATCATCAACATGTAGGCATATATTAATTCAAATTTTAAACCATTTTAAAAATATTGATAAAAAAAAAACGGTTTTTAAATAATCTAAGAATACTTTTATATTAGTATTACTCTAATAAAGTTTTCTAGTTTTCGGTCAAAATGAAATTTTTAATAGACAGCACACAAGTGGATCTTTAAAGCATTCGCTTTGCTTGCAGTCCCGCCTAAAAAACATTAAAAGGTGGCAACGTTTCGGTAGTAGTTTTCGACGTTTTTGTCGTTGGTTTCTTACTAGACGGCCATGTGGGCTGTTGGATGCTAGTGCTTGTACTTGTACTTGTCGGCATTCGAGAACTTGGTTTAATTGACGTAATACTTGTTACAGGTGACTTGAATGTTGTCGACTCCTGGGTGCTTGGGTTATTTGTTGTTTTGTTTGTTTGAGTTGGATTCAACGTGGTTGACTTCGGAGTACTCGACTTAATTGTTGTAGAACTTGAATCTGTTGGCTGTTTCGTTGAAGGCTTTTGGGTGCTAGGCTCTTTTGTTGTTTTACTTGGCTCAATTGGCTTCAGCGTTGTTGGCTTTTGAGAACTTGGTTTATTTGTTGTAATTCTAGCTACAGTTGGTCTGAACGTTGTCGGCTTTTCGGTGCTTGGCTTTTTTGTTGTTCTTTTTATTTGAGTTGGCTTCGGAGTACTTGGCTGAATTGTTATTGTGCTTGCTTCATGTGGGTTCAGCGTTGTCGCCTTTTGAGTACTTGGCTTAATTGAGGTTTCACTTGCGCCAGTTGGCTTTACTGTATTCGATTTTTGGGTGCTTGGAATAATTGTTGTTAGAGTTGGCTGCAACTTAGTTGACTTCGGGGTACTTGACTTAATTGTTGTAGAACTTAAATTAGTTGGCTGTTTTGTAGACGGCTTTTGGGTGCTCGGCTCTTTTGTTGTTTTACTTGGCTCAATTGGCTTCAGCGTTGTTTGCTTTTGTGTGCTTGGTTTATTTGTTGTAATTCTAGCTACAGTTGGTTTGAACGTTGTCGGGTTTTTGGTGCTTGGCTTTTTTGTTGTTCTATTTGTTTGAGTTGGCTTCGGAGTACTTGGCTGAATTGTCATTGTACTTGCTTCAGTTGGGTTTAGCGTTGTTGTACTTGACTTAATTGTTGTAGAACTTGAATCTGTTGGCTGTTTCGTTGAAGGCTTTTGGGTGCTTGGCTTATTTGTTGTTTTACTTGGCTCAATTGGCTTCAGCGTTGTTGGCTTTTGGGAACTTGGTTTATTTGTTGTAATTCTAGCTACAGTTGGTTTGAACGTAGTCGACTTTTGGGTGCTTGGCTTATTTGTTGTTCTTTTTATTTGAGTTGGCTTCGGAGTACTTGGCTGAATTGTTATTGTGCTTGCTTCATGTGGGTTCAGCGTTGTCGCCTTTTGAGTACTTGGCTTAATTGAGGTTTCACTTGCGCCAGTTGGCTTTACTGTATTCGATTTTTGGGTGCTTGGAATAATTGTTGTTAGAGTTGGCTGCAACTTAGTTGACTTCGGGGTACTTGACTTAATTGTTGTAGAACTTAAATCAGTTGGCTGTTTTGTAGACGGCTTTTGGGTGCTCGGCTCTTTTGTTGTTTTACTTGGCTCAATTGGCTTCAGCGTTGTTTGCTTTTGTGTGCTTGGTTTATTTGTTGTAATTCTAGCTACAGTTGGTTTGAACGTTGTCGGGTTTTTGGTGCTTGGCTTTTTTGTTGTTCTATTTGTTTGAGTTGGCTTCGGAGTACTTGGCTGAATTGTCATTGTACTTGCTTCAGTTGGGTTTAGCGTTGTTGTACTTGACTTAATTGTTGTAGAACTTGAATCTGTTGGCTGTTTCGTTGAAGGCTTTTGGGTGCTTGGCTTTTTTGTTGTTCTTTTTATTTGAGTTGGCTTCGGAGTACTTGGCTGAATTGTTATTGTGCTTGCTTCATGTGGGTTCAGCGTTGTCGCCTTTTGAGTACTTGGCTTAATTGAGGTTTCACTTGCGCCAGTTGGCCTTACTGTATTCGATTTTTGGGTGCTTGGAATAATTGTTGTTAGAGTTGGCTGCAACTTAGTTGACTTCGGGGTACTTGACTTAATTGTTGTAGAACTTAAATTAGTTGGCTGTTTTGTAGACGGCTTTTGGGTGCTCGGCTCTTTTGTTGTTTTACTTGGCTCAATTGGCTTCAGGGTTGATGGCTGTTGAGAACTGGTTTGAGTCGGCTTCAAAGTGGTTGACTTCTGAGTACTTGACTTAATTGTTGTAGAACTTGAATCTGTTGGCTGTTTCGTTGAAGGCTTTTGGGTGCTTAGCTTTTTTGTTGTTTTACTTGGCTCAATTGGCTTCAGCGTTGTTGGCTTTTGTGAACTTGGTTTATTTGTTGTAATAGTAGCTACAGTTGGTTTGAACGTTGTCGGGTTTTCGGTGCTTGGCTTTTTTGTTGTTCTATTTGTTTGAGTTGGCTTCGGAGTACTTGGCTGAATTGTCATTGTACTTGCTTCAGTTGGGTTTAGCGTTGTTGTACTTGACTTAATTGTTGTAGAACTTGAATCTGTTGGCTGTTTCGTTGAAGGCTTTTGGGTGCTTAGCTTTTTTGTTGTTTTACTTGGCTCAATTGGCTTCAGCGTTGTTGGCTTTTGGGAACTTGGTTTATTTGTTGTAATTCTAGCTACAGTTGGTTTGAACGTAGTCGACTTTTGGGTGCTTGGCTTATTTGTTGTTCTTTTTATTTGAGTTGGCTTCGGAGTACTTGGCTGAATTGTTATTGTGCTTGCTTCATGTGGGTTCAGCGTTGTCGCCTTTTGAGTACTTGGCTTAATTGAGGTTTCACTTGCGCCAGTTGGCTTTACTGTATTCGATTTTTGGGTGCTTGGAATAATTGTTGTTAGAGTTGGCTGCAACTTAGTTGACTTCGGGGTACTTGACTTAATTGTTGTAGAACTTAAATCAGTTGGCTGTTTTGTAGACGGCTTTTGGGTGCTCGGCTCTTTTGTTGTTTTACTTGGCTCAATTGGCTTCAGCGTTGTTTGCTTTTGTGTGCTTGGTTTATTTGTTGTAATTCTAGCTACAGTTGGTTTGAACGTTGTCGGGTTTTTGGTGCTTGGCTTTTTTGTTGTTCTATTTGTTTGAGTTGGCTTCGGAGTACTTGGCTGAATTGTCATTGTACTTGCTTCAGTTGGGTTTAGCGTTGTTGTACTTGTCTTAATTGTTGTAGAACTTGAATCTGTTGGCTGTTTCGTTGAAGGCTTTTGGGTGCTTGGCTTTTTTGTTGTTCTTTTTATTTGAGTTGGCTTCGGAGTACTTGGCTGAATTGTTATTGTGCTTGCTTCATGTGGGTTCAGCGTTGTCGCCTTTTGAGTACTTGGCTTAATTGAGGTTTCACTTGCGCCAGTTGGCCTTACTGTATTCGATTTTTGGGTGCTTGGAATAATTGTTGTTAGAGTTGACTGCAACTTAGTTGACTTCGGGGTACTTGACTTAATTGTTGTAGAACTTAAATTAGTTGGCTGTTTTGTAGACGGCTTTTGGGTGCTCGGCTCTTTTGTTGTTTTACTTGGCTCAATTGGCTTCAGGGTTGATGGCTGTTGAGAACTGGTTTGAGTCGGCTTCAAAGTGGTTGACTTCTGAGTACTTGACTTAATTGTTGTAGAACTTGAATCTGTTGGCTGTTTCGTTGAAGGCTTTTGGGTGCTTAGCTTTTTTGTTGTTTTACTTGGCTCAATTGGCTTCAGCGTTGTTGGCTTTTGGGAACTTGGTTTATTTGTTGTAATTCTAGCTACAGTTGGTTTGAACGTAGTCGACTTTTGGGTGCTTGGCTTATTTGTTGTTCTTTTTATTTGAGTTGGCTTCGGAGTACTTGGCTGAATTGTTATTGTGCTTGCTTCATGTGGGTTCAGCGTTGTCGCCTTTTGAGTACTTGGCTTAATTGAGGTTTCACTTGCGCCAGTTGGCTTTACTGTATTCGATTTTTGGGTGCTTGGAATAATTGTTGTTAGAGTTGGCTGCAACTTAGTTGACTTCGGGGTACTTGACTTAATTGTTGTAGAACTTAAATTAGTTGGCTGTTTTGTAGACGGCTTTTGGGTGCTCGGCTCTTTTGTTGTTTTACTTGGCTCAATTGGCTTCAGCGTTGTTTGCTTTTGTGTGCTTGGTTTATTTGTTGTAATTCTAGCTACAGTTGGTTTGAACGTTGTCGGGTTTTTGGTGCTTGGCTTTTTTGTTGTTCTATTTGTTTGAGTTGGCTTCGGAGTACTTGGCTGAATTGTCATTGTACTTGCTTCAGTTGGGTTTAGCGTTGTTGTACTTGACTTAATTGTTGTAGAACTTGAATCTGTTGGCTGTTTCGTTGAAGGCTTTTGGGTGCTTGGCTTTTTTGTTGTTCTTTTTATTTGAGTTGGCTTCGGAGTACTTGGCTGAATTGTTATTGTGCTTGCTTCATGTGGGTTCAGCGTTGTCGCCTTTTGAGTACTTGGCTTAATTGAGGTTTCACTTGCGCCAGTTGGCCTTACTGTATTCGATTTTTGGGTGCTTGGAATAATTGTTGTTAGAGTTGGCTGCAACTTAGTTGACTTCGGGGTACTTGACTTAATTGTTGTAGAACTTAAATTAGTTGGCTGTTTTGTAGACGGCTTTTGGGTGCTCGGCTCTTTTGTTGTTTTACTTGGCTCAATTGGCTTCAGGGTTGATGGCTGTTGAGAACTGGTTTGAGTCGGCTTCAAAGTGGTTGACTTCTGAGTACTTGACTTAATTGTTGTAGAACTTGAATCTGTTGGCTGTTTCGTTGAAGGCTTTTGGGTGCTTAGCTTTTTTGTTGTTTTACTTGGCTCAATTGGCTTCAGCGTTGTTGGCTTTTGGGAACTTGGTTTATTTGTTGTAATTCTAGCTACAGTTGGTTTGAACGTAGTCGACTTTTGGGTGCTTGGCTTATTTGTTGTTCTTTTTATTTGAGTTGGCTTCGGAGTACTTGGCTGAATTGTTATTGTGCTTGCTTCATGTGGGTTCAGCGTTGTCGCCTTTTGAGTACTTGGCTTAATTGAGGTTTCACTTGCGCCAGTTGGCTTTACTGTATTCGATTTTTGGGTGCTTGGAATAATTGTTGTTAGAGTTGGCTGCAACTTAGTTGACTTCGGGGTACTTGACTTAATTGTTGTAGAACTTAAATCAGTTGGCTGTTTTGTAGACGGCTTTTGGGTGCTCGGCTCTTTTGTTGTTTTACTTGGCTCAATTGGCTTCAGCGTTGTTTGCTTTTGTGTGCTTGGTTTATTTGTTGTAATTCTAGCTACAGTTGGTTTGAACGTTGTCGGGTTTTTGGTGCTTGGCTTTTTTGTTGTTCTATTTGTTTGAGTTGGCTTCGGAGTACTTGGCTGAATTGTCATTGTACTTGCTTCAGTTGGGTTTAGCGTTGTTGTACTTGACTTAATTGTTGTAGAACTTGAATCTGTTGGCTGTTTCGTTGAAGGCTCTTGGGTGCTTGGCTTATTTGTTGTTCTTTTTATTTGAGTTGGCTTCGGAGTACTTGGCTGAATTGTTATTGTGCTTGCTTCATGTGGGTTCAGCGTTGTCGCCTTTTGAGTACTTGGCTTAATTGAGGTTTCACTTGCGCCAGTTGGCTTTACTGTATTCGATTTTTGGGTGCTTGGAATAATTGTTGTTAGAGTTGGCTGCAACTTAGTTGACTTCGGGGTACTTGACTTAATGGTTGTAGAACTTAAATCTGTTGGCTGTTTTGTAGACGGCTTTTGGGTGCTCGGCTCTTTTGTTGTTTTACTTGGCTCAATTGGCTTCAGCGTTGTTGGCTTTTGAGAACTTGGTTTATTTGTTGTAATTCTAGCTACAGTGGGTTTGAACGTAGTCGACTTTTGGGTGCTTGGCTTATTTGTTGTTCTTTTTATTTGAGTTGGCTTCGGAGTACTTGGCTGAATTGTTATTGTGCTTGCTTCATGTGGGTTCAGCGTTGTCGCCTTTTGAGTACTTGGCTTAATTGAGGTATCACTTTCGCCAGTTGGCTTAACTGTATTCGATTTGTGGGTGCTTAGAATAATTGTTGTTAGTGTTGGCTGCAACTTAGTTGACTTCGGGGTACTTGACTTAATTGTTGTAGAACTTAAATCAGTTGGCTGTTTCGTTGAAGGCTTTTGGGTGCTTGGCTTTTTTGTTGTTTTGTTTTTTTGTGTTGGTTTCGGAGTACTTGGGTTAATTTTCGTTGATTTTGCTATAGTTGGTTTGAACGTGGTCGACATTTGGGTACTTGACTTATTTGTTGTCTCAGTGGTTATACTTTGCTTCGATGTTGACGACTGTTGGGTGCTTGGCATATATGTTGTTTCGTTTGTTTGAGTTGACCCTAACGTGGTTGACTTCGGAGTACTTGACCTAACTTTTGTAGAACTTGAATCATTTGGCTTTATCGTTGATGGTTTTTGAGAAATTGGTTTAATTGATGCGGTACTTATTTCAGTTGGCTTGAACGTTATTGACTTGTGTGTGCTTGGCCTATTTGTTGTTCTATTAGGCTCAGTTGACTTCAACGTTGTCGGCTTCTGAGTACTTGGCTTAGCTGTTTCACCGAAAGTTGTACGAACCACAGGTTTTTGGGTCGATGTAATTGTCAGCGTTGTTTCTTGCTGCCAGTTATGTGAAGTTGTAGTTTTTGGTACATGTGAAGAAGTATGTTCACAGTTTTGCTTTGTTGGATAATGCTTGCACTGTGTTGGTGGTGGTTTAAGAGTAGTTTGGCTCGTCTTGTTGCAAGGATTACGAAAGTGCAGTATTATTTCATTGCGCTTTTGACTAGGTACAATACGAATATGCGGGCCAAACAGTGTAAATGTTGCGCCTGTAGCGACAAGCAGACAAAGTATAAACAGTCTCATTGTATCAAAAACAATATCTTGGCTTAGCTGTAAGTATATCCTGTTTGTCCAATGGCCTGCGTACCACTTGATGACACCCTGGATACTAACATACACCGATCGCAATGTTTTGTATTTAAGTCATCTATATTTTGTCGTTTTTTTAAAAGTATTGCAAAAATTTACATTTTTCTGTCTAAAATTATATTTTCTGTTTAAAAGCGGTAATACGGATACAAATGCTATATTAAAGCACGCGCTTGGTCTATGAAGCTATGGCCAGGCTTGCATAAGTAACTTATCAGAGGCGCAAGTGAATAACCAGCTTACGTTGTTCTGTTGACTGTAGCAGAGCTAGCAGCACACGAAGCCACGTGAGCCTGTTTAAATTTACTACTGCTAGCACGAACCTAACTAATTTTTCTTAAACGTTCTGAATTTTGACGATATGTATTGTCCGTTACTGTGGACTTAATTGTAAGTTTGCATTTTAGAGTATCCCATGGCCCAAAAACAATTTTTGTAGCATGAAACAGTAGTTTCAAAATCAATATAAAGAAAGATTGTCATAGAGATAGTGTTCTTAATATAACTAGCTTTCCCGGCTTTACCTGGTCCAAGTTCGTCGAATGCCACGTCCAAAGTTATATATATAAACTAGGGGGTATTGCCCACCCTTGCCCGAGGCAGGTTATGTGCAATAAATTTTAAATATTTCCATTTTTCGGCTTTTTAGCCAATGTAATATATTGAAATTTACTTCTATTTGGAGACATATCTAAAATTCATCGAGTAAATAATCATAAGTTTGGACCGATATCACGAAAAACTCATTTACGAAATTCTAACAGAAGAAGTCTGTAAATGAGTTTGAAGTCCGACCCAAAAAATTGCATGCAACAAGTTAACACTATATGTCCACAGTTTACCGTTTCCAAGATCGCTGAAACACGTATTCATTAACTTGTTACGTAGGGCTTTGAAAGTAAATTTAAGAGCGATCGGATGAAACTAAGATCGTCCCCCAAATAATGTTTGACGCATTTTTCCCTGAGGATCCTAAGATTGTTCAAGACTGTGAAACACGTGATAAAATGAATTTTAATAAAGATTCTCGGATATGAATTGGATCCCGAAACATCGCCAACCAAATCTTTTAGCCCCATTTCATCCAAGGAAAATTGGATTTTCCAAAATCTGTGCGACACCCCTCAATAACCGAAGATCTTTTAAAATGTTTTTCAGATCGATCGGATGCTAAGCAAAAATGATTTACACGGTACTGATAAGTGATCAACGCGCATCCCAAACCTTCAGATCTAGGGCGCTGCAAATTTTACTGTAGTTACCGTATGTGATGGAGATGCATCACGCTATATAAATCATTTTTGCTTAGCGTCCGATCGATCTCAAAAACATTTTAAAAGATCTTGTTTTGAAAGAAGAAATTGTTTTGACAAAGGGAAAAATTTATGTTTTCCAGATTAATATGCATTAAAAACAAAACTCTTCCAATATTTTAATCTCTTATATAGTATATCGATTAGTTATTTTTCTATTCATTTCGTATTCAGATCCATGGCTCCAAGCAGCCTTTTTAGACCTACAGTATTAAAGGAAATAAGTTAAAAAAAAAAAAAACACGCTAATACTTTGTATGACGGCCCTGGGCAGTACATACAGCCTGCAATCGCCGTTTAATAGACTTAATCTGGATAACCTGGTGTTATAAGTTTCCAGAATCTTTATCTATTCTTCAAGAATAGCAGCTTTCAATTCGTTGCGAGACTTCTGACTTCTTTTTGCCACCACCAACGCCCTTGCTCGATATGCAGCCCCATACCATCATGGAGAGTTTACTTATCTTTACCGTCGGTATTATGTTCCGAGTTTCCAATGCCGTTAAGGGCTTTCGCCAGATCCATCATTATAAAAAAAAACATAATTTTGGTTTCGTCACAGAATATAACGTCATCCCAATACCCTGCTGGCTTCTCTAAGTGTATTTGTGCAAATGAAAGCCGCTCTTCAATATTAATGCTTGAAATCAGGGGCTTCTTACATTCAGACATCGGTCCAATATGTTATATATAGTTTGTCTGAATAACGAAAACATCTCGGATAACTCCATCACAGTTTTACCGATCTGGTGATTATAATAAGACAACTGGGTAATATCAAAAGATGTTCTCTTCCCTGGGATTTTTATTTGTCCACAAAGTTCAACACACGATCAAAATTTCATCAGAAAATGTTAACAGAATTCATAGGGAAGTAGGAGACAAATTATGAAAACAGAATTTTAACGGGATTGCATCAAGGCGAATTGCAAAATCGATGACAGTCAAAACAATTTCTTGACACCATTAAGAATTATTACTTTTAAATTTTTATTTTTTACATTTATTTGCATTTTGCACAAATGCAAAATACCCTTTTGGGCGGCATTATCATCCTCGTCACTTTCATAATTGATATGCGAAACTTCTTTCAAAATGACGTTATTTGTCAACATACCGGAATTGTTTGGAGCCATGGATATTAATATGTATTTTTTTCAACTAGTTCTAACAAAACGAGAAAGAAAGGTTATCTTCGGCACGTCGAAGATCTAATACCCTTGCAGACCCAAACTTTTCATAATGCTTATAGTGCTTTGCCCGTATTTAAGAAGCACAGGCAAAATCGTTAATGCCGAGCTTGGGCAAGATATCTTGATAAACAAAAAGGTTTTTACCCGATCGTTCCTATGGCAGATATATAGCAGTCCGAAGTAAATAATTTTTTGCAAAAATGAAGGGGCATAGTAAAATCTTTAAATGCCGTGCTTAATCAAAATATTTTGAATAACTAAAAAGTTTTCCATACAACAACTTAATTTTCCACCGATCGTTCCTATGGCAGCTATTTGATATAGTGGTCCGATCTTAATAGGATTTTGCATATATATGAGGAGCATAGTTAAACTAATAAATGGCGAGTTTCGTCAAGATATCTTGATAAACAAAATGTTTTTTCATACAAAAACTTAATTTTCGACCGATCTAGCTGGTTTTGACTAATGTGCTGCATGCAACAGAAAGAGGGCATATGCAAAGTTTCATTAAGATCTTTAAAACTGAGAGACTAGTTCGCATAGAAACGCAGACAAATACATAGAAACGACGGACAGAGAAAAAAGGGTCAGACGGACAGACGGACATGTCTATATCGACTCGGCTGTTGATGCTGATCAAGAATATATATACTTTATGGGGTCGGAGAAGTCGCCTTCAATGCGTTACACATTTCACGACGAAATTATAATAGCCTCTGCAAGGGTATAAAAATAAATTAATATATGTTAAATATAAAAGACATTAAAATATAAGAATGTTGTGTAAAACGTAACCTGGAAAATATGAATTTCTTGCTTCGTCAAAACAATTTGTTGACATACTGTATGTACATGCATACCTCACAGCCACACCAAGAGTTCAGTTTCGACGAAAAAAATTAAACTAAAATAAATATAAGCACATACACAGAACGCGGTATATACTACAATCGTAATTACGATGGCTATTATTTTAAATACAATACAATAAAATTGCACATCCAACTCATAACTTCACTTGCCCCGTGACAGAAACACAGAAGCAACGGAAAACGAGCGAAATTCACACAAAAAAAGTGAATTACGTTTTCTGTGCGGCTGGTCCTAAGTCGCCTTCGTTTCTATTCGGGTTTATAAAACGGTATCGCTGTTTTTTTTTTATTCTCTCGCACTGCTGGAAACTACTTTTGCTTCCTCTCAGTGCTCCTTCAATTTGTGTATTTACCGTTGTACTGTCTGTGTGTGTATTTGTCCACAAGCAAAAGTGCCAACAGATTCAATTTTACTCAAAATTCGGTGGCTTTCTTCCCATTTGAAGGGACGAGTAATTTGATAATTCTTGCATTTAGCTCGTTATCGTTGGTAAGGGTACCTAAGCGTTGCCATGTGTGCATTTAAAATATTTTGGACTCGCTATTCACGCATACTTGCATACTTTGTATATGAATAGTGGAATTTGTGTGCCTGCTGGTGGCTTGCCCACCTGTTTTTCTTTTTTCCCAAAACTTTAAAAAAAAAAAGAAACAATTAAGAGGTTAAAGTCGGCAGCTCCCGAGTAGGGAATACCCAGAACCAAAGACAATATAAACACTAAGATGAGTAACGTCCATACATTTTAATACGACGCAAAATTTCTGGCCTGGCCTTTCATCTGGCCTTTGAGGCTTCGTACGGGATGCCTGCCGACTGGTTGTTCGTTCTCCAAAGACCAGACGAACGAATGCCGAAGTCGTGGCTTGCTGATGCTGACACGAGCTACGAAGTTAGTCGCCAGCCTGCCTTCAGCAAAGCTGGTCGATGCTGCTTTGCGTCGCTTCGTTTTCGAAGCACATTGAGCGAAAAAGTTTAGAGCTTACGATCGACGCGAAGTGCTTGTGCTTTATCCATGGTATGCATTCTTTATTTAAATGATATATTACCCTAGATATTAAGAATTAATTTTACAGGAAAATTTAAGAACTTATATAATTTTTACACAAGGCGCTTCTTGCGCAATAACTATGTTAAGAAAATAGCACATATAGATTGATTTCACTTTTCTTTTTGGACAGTGAATGCTCGAGAAAAGTTCTTGTCTCAGCCAATAGCATGCGTGCACCTTTCGTTGTATGCGTGAACTATACATGCATAAGAACTTTAAAGTATGTATGCATGTGTTGTTATTCACTGCTCTGGCTTTAGCTGGCAAGAAATTAATTTTGTTAGTTTTCTAGCGCAGATCATGACCTATCCCAAATTTGTGTTGATATATGAATGCATTTTGTGTACTGAGGTTGGCTTCGCAGAAAATACCCGAGGGTCATATTTAGTTATGACCCCATTATAATTATAATGGTCTCCTCGCGGTGTTCCCTGCGTACTTTGTTCTTTATAATTCGAACAACAAAAATAATAAAATAAAAAAAAAATAAATGTATAATAATAAATGTATAAATAATAAAAATAATTTAATTAATAATTTCAAATATAAAAAATTACATAAATATTTGCATCGACTT